TGGTTCTGCCAGCATTGGGGAGATTGGCATTCTAGCTGGTGGCTGTGACTCACGAGGCAATATTCTTAGCTCAGCTGAACTTTACAATTCGGAGTCAGGAACGTGGAAGACTTTACCAAGCATGAACAAGCCACGTAAGATGTGTTCAGGGGTATTCATGGATGGAAAATTTTATGTGATAGGAGGAATTGGAGGAGCCGAATCGAAGCGGTTGACTTGTGGGGAGGAGTATGATCTGGAAAAAGGAACGTGGCGTGAAATCCCAAACATGTCTCCGGTGCAAGCTAACGCTGCTAGGAATGATATGCCTGCTACATCTGATGCACCTCCTTTGGTGGCAGTTGTACACAATGAGCTGTACGCGGCTGATTATGCTGACATGGAGGTGAGGAAGTATGACAAGCAAAATAAAGCGTGGGTTACCATAGGACGGCTGCCCGAAAGAGCAGCTTCCATGTATGGTTGGGGTTTGGCTTTTCGAGCATGTGGTAACAGGCTAATTGTAATTGGTGGACCCAAGGGAGGTGCAGAATATATCGAAGTGAATTCATGGGTTCCAAGTGAAGGGCCGATACAATGGGACTTGCTTGGCTGAAAGCGATCTGGTAGCTTTGTGTATAACTGTGCTGTCATGGGGTGCTGATCATATAATCCCGGTCTTTTGTCCTTGATGATGTTACCTTGATCCATCTTTCTTTCTGTTTTAAATTCATGTTTGTTCTTTGCTAGCAATCTCTATCGCTGTACTGCAATATGCAATTAAGGGGAAAAATAGGACGATGAAATTCAATAATTGGATGCTGACAGACAAGTGAACTCCTATCTCATGTCATCTTTTTTTTTTCCCCTCCCTTATATGATTGGATATGTTTGAAAAATACCTGCATCTTCATGAAGTTGCCACCATAATGAGATATGACATATGCATGTGTTTTTTGTGATTTTGTCATTCATTTCCTCTGAAGTTTCCACCAAGAGTGTAGTTAATTCACTAATAACTCGTTGCATTTGTTAATTTCTCTCTACATCTTAGTCTCAGAGCATCTAGTGCTGGATCAAGGGGAGGACAGATGCACCGCCATTTGCTGCAAAGAGGAGAAGAGGAAAAGAAGGTGAAGTACGTTATACGTCACAACTCTTTGAGGTTTGATTCCTGCGCTTGGTAAAATGATAATCAAAGAACCTGAACTCATTTTCTAGTCGGCTTATAGAGATTATTCCACATGCAACATCTCTTTTTGCTGTTTCACAATCATAAAACGCGATTATCACTTCAATAGATTTTTATGTTCCGTTTTGAAAGTTATTTTCCAGCTGGATTCTCTTCATAAGCAAATCCATTTGATCTCTGTTGATTACTGTGACTAAATCAAATCTCCAAATATTAAATGAGTGGTAATTACTTTTCTAGAATAGCAACTGAACTTACTCTTGTATTATACACGCTGCAGTAACTTTATAATGGTCAATAAGAAGGTTTCACTTCTAAATGCAAAGAGGATCTTAGATTTTATTCCATTCATTCTCTGTCCTGGTTAATGGTAGCCCGTGTGGTTTCTTTGGCAGCTCCAGGGGTCTCAGGCAAGGTGACCCCCTATCCCTCATGTTATTCATTCTAGTGATGGATGCTCTGAGCAAAATGATGGATCGTGCGGCGGGCGGAGGTTTCTTGAGAGGATTCTCAGCTTCGATTGGGGTGCTCAGTGCTCGAAGAGTCTCACATTTGCTTTTTGAGGATGACACACTGGTTTTCTGTGATGCCGACATGAATCAGTTGACCTACCTGCAGCAGGTCCTGCAGTGGTTTCGGTTAGTATCAGGACTCAAAATCAAAATCGGCAAGTGTGAGATTTTCCCGGTAGGTGAGGTTACTAATATTGATGCCTTATCTGGTGTTCTCAAATGCAAGGTGGGCTCCCTTCCCACTACTTACCTGGGCCTCCCTTTGGGCGCTTCATATAAGGATACTACGGTTTGGAATTCAGTGATCGAACGGGTTGAAAAAAGATTAGCAGGGTGGCAGAAAC